AATATTTCCTCATCTGTTCTTCAAGCAATTAAATTAATGTCATGAACACATAAGTAAAAAACACTAAATGGAATTTTACATAATGAAATGTTTAATTATTTGTATAACTAATGAGGAATCAGGCTGTATTTATTAACATGAATAATATATGCCTGCACCCTCACGAAATCATTAAAAAAAGCAGATGCTGGAACAGGTGTCCTATGTAAGAACATAATGTGTCACCGCAGTGGGTACTCTGGATGGCACAACAGCATGTAAATAGCAGGTTTAAAGGCTTTGTCATGGCTAGATGAATGTGCCTTCTTAAGGAAATTGCATTTTGAGTTTTACAAAAATTAAGTCATTAAAACCCAAACAGGCTTATTCTATAAATCAGTGTAACGGGTGTAACCGTGTATGCTCATAGGGACCAACTGAAATCCATCATATACTTGTTTGACTTCAATAAAATAAGTCTGATTGGTTGCTATGGTCTACTGCACTTTGCTGTTGGGTTATTACACTGTTTTATTGAATAAGCTGATAGGTGTCATATTTAAAAGTGCAATGATGTTTACTTATTAAAATCAGCAACCAATCAGTTTACAGCATTTGAATTTAACCAATGATTTGATGTTTGTTTAGTTTTTATGAATGACTGAATTTGCTCTTTTTCCAACAGGAATACACCATATTGGATTGCCTACAAGCTTTTTATGTCAATTTCATGTCTATTTTCACCATAGCTATACCCAGATCAGTTTGATTATAGTCTAAGCAGCAATAGGATTATGGTTTTACATCAGATTCCATATAGCAATGAGGAGAGCATAAAGCTACATCAAGAATGGGAGCCACAGACTTTAATCCTGGCAACACATCTCACTGGGGTGCCTCAAGTATATAGGATGACAGTGAGGGATCCAACCAGAACTTATATATTTCTTGGTGGACTCAATCTTTACAAAGAGGTTTTCTAAAAGGTACAAACACACACAAGCAACTCAGACTGGGAACAACTATTCACTATTGCCTGTTCACAAACATGTCACGCTGCAGTGAAGCTGAACCTGATCATGGTCAAAAGAGGACTTTTTAGGATATACACTTCGGATTCCTTTTAATTAAAGTGTATCTCAAGCAAAAATATTTCTCTGGATATTAGATGGGCACCTTTAGAAGGTTTTTATGGAAGTCTGTATTTCCGTTGAGAAGTTTACTTTCTCTATTCATCCTGGTGACCATTGATACAGAGACAGAATCTAATGGGTAATCCAACATTTTCTGGTGTCACTGAAACAGAAGGTGAGGGACAATCTTCCAATAGCAACTAATGTTTTGGTAATAACTGTCTAAGAAGCGATTTTCTTTCACTTCTGAGAGTTTTCCTCTCACTTCTCATGGGTCAGAACCATTACCTACTCTAACTAAAGTTTTTTTGGTTGAGATGAGAAGACCAATTCTATTCCGAAAATTCCCAGTGCAGGAAAAAGTGAAATAAGGGGTTAACAAGTGCCAGGATTTCGTTTAAGGGTTAATATCAGGGTTTTAGCGGTGAAATGTTAAGGTGGGATATTACGAGAGAGGTGCAGTACATGTACCGATACTTTTGAGCTCCAGGACTACACTAGAGAAAAATTCAAAAATTAGGAGGCAGCTGTCATTTGTAAGGAGCACACGGAGCTCCTGGGATTTGTACATCTCTGTTTTAATGTACAATTTTGATTTTATAAATATAAATAAAGGGATGCACAGATACCAGTTTTGCGAGTACGAGTACTGGTACTTGCTGAGTACTTACAAGTATGAGTACTGATACATTTTTGTTTATTGTCATGTGACAGTTTTTCTAAAACAATACAGACTAATGATTTCAGGACAGTGGTGGAGTGCCAGAGCCAGGTCCCAGCTGCAACCGCTGCAACCTTGGTAGTTCTCATGAAAATGCCAAGTATCTGCACTGGTACTCGAAAAGTATTTGTGCATCCCTAGTACCAACCTAAAATAGATATTTCAGTTTTTGTGTGGCATTAATATTTAACACCCCAAGATAAATTTGATCTGCATATTATTTGTAAACTGGAATTCAATTCTTCATTAAAAATTAAAATTTTTCATTCACATACTTTTTATTTGCAGAGCGTCTATTTTGTTTTGTAAATACTAATGTAAATAATCTGCAACAGACTATGGCTGCACTCATTCATTCACTATGATTCAATAAAAAGTGATGTGGATCCCCAACAGTCATCACAAAACAATATGTTCTTTCTTTCCTTTAACAGAAACCTGTGGCTGCTACATATGATTTTGAAACAGCTCAGAATTGTATACTAGAATGGCCTCTTTTTTATGTTGGCCACAGATGAAGGTCTTGATTTCTTTAATGAAAATTACATAAAATGGTTTAAGCGGAATTCAGGCAGCATTTAATCTAGCTATGGATTAATTGAAAATGAAATGTATTTTACATGCAGCTGGCAAAAATGAACTTGTCCTGACAGCAGCCTCCTGTAATACCATGCACAGCAGAACTGAGCTCAGGAAGGGTAGGGTCAGCATTATGACTAAGTCAGGCTCTATTGTAATGCACAGAGCTGTCTGTCTAACACTGAAACTTCCCAAAATGAGACAAGGACAGTGTGATGATCTCATCAGCGTGCTTCTGCATGGCCATTGTCCAACCACAGCCTAGACCAGGTTGCATTACTCAACTGTTTTATAGTCTGCATGGAGGTCACAGAGAGGGCAAGGATTGGTTGTGGTGTCTGGAAGGGTGACTAGCTAAAAGACTTACGTTGGTTAGAAAGACTACATATATATCCTGGAGGTTAGCTTTAACCAAATGCCAAAAGGCAGACATATTGAAAATAAATGACAGAGCACAACATTAAAAGGCAGAACACCAAATGGAGGAGGAAAATATATGTGGGCTAAATTAGTTCTACATAGGGCAATTTGTACCTAAGAATGATTAACAGGGTTATTCACAAAAGGGTGAAGAGTTTGGAGAAGGCAGGAGAAGTGAACAATCTAGGACAAAATTGCTGATATGGAAAAATTCCCCAATTCAGCTCACTTTACAGTTCAGCTAGGTTGTCCTAGATTGTTCACTTCACCTGCCTTCTCCAAACTCTTCACCCTTGTGCATAACTCGGTACATTTTTGGTGATTAACAAAAAAGCTTCATTTGAAAAGAAGCAAATATTGAATTAGTTCTTCTTTTTTATATTTTTAAATCATACCCACTTTCAAACATTCAGTGAAAAAAAAAATATCCTGAGCTACTCCGCTGCAATTGTATGTAAGGCATCCTTAATAACCTGTACAATAAATTGGGGTACATGCCATTCAACTTCTTAAGTTGGTCAATTTGCAACCCTCAGACTCAGATTTGACATTCCCACCTAATAAAGTGACTGGCAACATGTTTACAGGTTGGCAACACTGACCACCATACCAGCCAGTTTTATTGTACAATATTATTTTATTCTATTTGTGTTTTTTTGTCAATAAAAAAGAAAACATAATGAAAGAAGAATATTATTCATCAGGTTACAGTCTACTTCATGCTACACCAAAGTGTCCTTCTTCCATGTTTTCCAAGACTCTGATACTAGGACCAGAGCAGCGAGGTACTGGGTGCTTTCTAAAAGTGTTTGAAGAAACTGGAGATTAAACCTGTTAACCTCCTTATTGTATGAAAAGGAACATCTTAATTAACTTGTCAATCGATGATCCTGCTTGTGTCGGTCCGCAGTCCAAGATTGGTGCTTTAAAAGTCTCTTGTTTCTCATGCAGTCCATTCCTGACT